AGACCAAAAATCCTACAAAGCACAGAACAAGCTCGAAAACAGAATGACCAATGAATGCTTCGAGCTAGAAGGCTACGACATCAAAACAAACGTGAAAAAGACTGAACCTGACTTCCAGAGAGAGAGATGCAAGGACTCCCAGCGAGTGACACTGACTACCATCGTCCTCCCGAAGATCGACACTCACATCTTCTGACCAAAACCTGGCCGGAATCCAACAATGAAACCGAGTTCATCAACTTCCTTCAATTCCTACACTCCGGATCTGAACACTGCAATGACAACCAACCTAATCAAACCAATTTTGCATGGCCGCTGGCAACATGACCGGCTAGCATACAGGTGTAGTCCACAAGGTCCTTGGAGCAAAGCGTAGCGTCGAAAGATGACCAACAAATGAAAGAACACACAAGCAATGGAATCTATCACAAGTTGAGTTGTGAAGTGTTGCGCATTCTGAGTTTTCTGCTTCCGTGGACCAAAAAAAATGGATGAGGCCTTGGCAGACAGGTGCACACAAACTCACTTGGGTTTTTATTTTCTCTGCACTAATATAGTTACAATCTATCATATTCTGATCTGAAAAGATTCAACACAGTACCGACTTGATTTGCCATGAATCAAAGAACCAAATGACAGCGCATTAGCTTCGGCAAGCCCAAGGGCCTGACCAAAAAACCAAAGCGTTCACGACACCTTCCAATCGTCGGTGAGTATGTTGAATGTCTTGGAGTTGATGCATTACAGTACTGGCCTGTGCGTTCATTGAAGCACAGCAAACACAGCTGCCGTCGCACCAGATCTTCTGACCAATACCTGGCAACTATCCAGCGGCCTAACCACGCTCAAGTGATGCATTCCACTACGAATCATCTCAAACAAGGACACTCCCTTTTTCCATGATCCTTTTCATCCTTGCACGTTGATGGTTGGATTACAAGACTCATCACGTCGACTCGCCTGGTGCGACAAATTCTGATCGGACAGGCATCACAGATACTGTTAATTACCTTCATTCATTCTTGCTCCTGACTATTTATCTTCACATGACATGGAATGCCCAATCCTACCCGATCATAATTCGCCAATCCGATGTCAGCATGCGAGGTCAAGAGGTCAGACCACGATGCGGCTGGCTCGTCACGTCGACTTGCCAGCACATGCCAAAGGGGTCAGGATGTCAGACCATGATGTGGCTAGCTCGTCACGTCGACTTGCCAGCGCATGCCAAAGGTCTATTCAATCACTCACTTCGACTTGCCATCGCCACGAAGTCCATGTTTCACAGTAATGCCCGCGCGACACTCCGTCGCACGCTGCTGAAACTTTTCTAAGCTCTTGGCTACGCCGACCGGCGGCCCCCTTTCCTAATTCTCGGGGCGGCGGTCGCACCAACAGCAGGTCCGACAAAGAAGTCACTCTGGAAAGCATCACATACAGATGCAACCACCATTCATCATCGTCCTTTTCTTTCTGACGACCACAATCCACAACTGTTCCAGATCGAAGAGTCAAGCCCTGCGAAGCCGTGCTGGTCAGACAATGTGCGTTCGTGGCGCGAAAACCACATCTGCGGATTTGCAGCCCACTGTAGCTCACAACCACTTCTTCTGCTTCAAAAAAGTAGAAAGAACGAGCCAACTTCTCCGCCTCCTCGGAGCTATTCGTATGCTTCGCACAGAGCGGCGTAAAGCTTTCCCATCCACTGCATCCTTGATATCCTTTGATGCTCACCAACAATCCAGATGGTACATATCTTGGCGTAAACATTTCTCCTGCCGGAGTCTTCAATTATCTTGCTCGATCGGCATCATGAAACCCAAAATCCATAATGGTTGCCACCGTATCTTGCACCAGCCCTTGGTCGGCATCCACACGCGCCAACAAGCGAATTTCCATGCCAACAAAGCAAGGCAAAATGCCATGAATCAAACCAGTGTTGTACGGGTTCGGCTGATTCAAAAACCGAATGCCAGTCTCATGGTTTATGCCCATACAAGTATCAGCAGCTTGCAAAAAGACCAGTGTCTGATTGCATCGGCTCGCCTGCAGGATGGTGCGACGATACATCATGCGAATCAAAGATGCCCAGTAAATCGACATACAGTACCCCGACCGAAAGTTCTCCGAATCCAAGCGAGCATCAGCAATGCCGGGAGCTTCATCTCGTATCACGTGGTCCTGGAACTGAGCCCAGAGCCTATCCGGCAGTGTGTGGCCAAGCCGCATGCATTGCAAGATCTCGATAAGCGGATCTTGCGGCTTGAAGCGCATGGTGCCACGTAGCTCATAAACATCTGGGATCTCGACCCCAGGGACCTCTTTGTGGACGTACTGGCCGTCTTCATCTCGCCGGTTCAGATCTTCAATCAAGGATATCTGACCAGTCGGACGTAATTGGAAAAAGTCTCCCAGGTGAATGACGATGGGAACCCGCCCGAAAGCACAGCCGACTTTCATGTAAGTGTCTCGGTCCACCTTGAAAGGAAGCCGGCGACCACACATGGCACGAAAATCAAGCATATTGTAAAGCAAAGCCGACACCATGCTGATCTCTTCGATGATCAAGACACGAACATTCTTCCAAGTTTTCTCCAAAGCCTTTTCCTTCTTGCCTGGAGCCATATCCTGATTCTTCAAACTTTGGATCCGCATGCAACCTGCTCTATGCAATGTCTTGGCTCGCACACCTTCTGTAGAAATGTTTTTGGCTTGCGAGTTTTTGGCCGCAACAACCATCAGAGACTCTTCCTCTTTGCTTGGCGGCCAGATGAAATGCACAACCGGAAAAATAAACTTTTGCACAACATGAGTTTTGCCTGATCCGCCCTGTCCCAGTAACAACATGTGATACACAGATCTCCGTTCAGGTGGCAACTCTTGTTCTTCTTTCCAGAGAGTGTCCAACACATCTCCGAACCGTAATGCAAAGAGCATCTGATCCTCGTTCAATCTGCCCGTGGTGGGTAGATTTGCGACCATGTCTGACAGCATGGCAGAGGGTGTCGTGTACACGTTCTGATCCGTGAAACGTGCACAATCCCGTGGGAGCAAAGGCAGTAAGGTGCGGAGAGCACGCAAACGAACCACCTCGTCCGGCTCATCCGTCTGGGCTTCGACATCTTCCTCCTCTTCCCCTGGTTTTGTCTCTCGGACACTCCAATAGAGATCTTGCCGGGCATCCTGGCCAATTCTACGTTTGCAATAAATCAACTACACTCAAAAACCAAAAACCCACAACAAATCAAATATAACTTCAAAATTATGAAGTTCCTTCAACCTTCAAATGGTCCCATCGCAACCGAAGTATGTGCCACAGAGACTACATATCAAACAATACACCCTTCAACATCTCCCAGATATGCTGTTTCCGTCCTGATTCAAGCCAGAGAGGTCAGCCAGAAGTTGTTCCTGTCTCTGCGGTTCACTGTTCCGACAGCGTGATGCTGCCTCAAATACATCGTCTCTCATCCAGGTCTCCTGCAGAAATGTTTTCACATAGTCATTCTTGCGACCTTGCAGATCAAAGCGCAAAAGCTGTTTCTGCTCTTCTGCAGTGAGGCGCAAACCAATTGGCGGGAAGACTTCCTTTTTCACCACACTTGTCTCTTCCACCAAAGCCTCTAGATTTTCATCGTTGTCGCCATCCGCGCCAACATCATCAGCTTCTCCAAGCGTGTGCATCTTCACATACTCCTCATGCAAATGAGCATCTTCGTCTCTTCTACGTTTCGGTTTGTGTTGTCTGGCACGTGCAAGTCCTTCAAGATTTGCAATCCGCTGTTGTGCCAGAAGCGACGAATACATAGAAACAGTGCACCGCGGCTTCCCGAGATCAAAATCCTGTCCTGTAGGTGGCAATGTCTCAGCATCCAGATACCTCAAATATCTGCTTTCCAGTTCTGTGATCATTTCTTGGGTCTCCCACAGGCTCGGGTATTCATATCTTTCCGCAAACCGATGCCTGGCCAGTTGAGCTTCTTTCTCCATGCCACACTTCCATTCCAAAAAGGATTTTGTAAAAGCAGTGTGTGCCTGTCGAGATCGATCCACATGAACATCGCCAGTTTCAACTACAGGTGTTGAAAATGTCTTGAAAGCATTCAGCACCAACTCTTCCTCAGTGTGTTGAATATCGACCTCTTTCACCAGATGCACTCCCACTGGTCGGCACTGCACTTGCTTGTACATGGCGTTCCGCTCGCCGTCGTGTGTCAGCGGTGGCATAGTGAAGCCTTCAAACATAGGCACACGCGGTTCACTGGAGATCCGCTGTGCATGACTGTTGTAAAGCTTGTACGAGCAATCGAAATAAATATCAACAAACCGAGGTATGGCCGACTTCACCGACTTGTCTGCACCCCGTGCCAATTCCACACGGTAGACCCACGTTCCATACGTGGCCCAACTCATGCCTGTGCCAACAAAATCCGAGACCCGAACCATGATACACATATGAAAATGAAAATATGAAACAAAACTTCTACACATATGATACCAACCACAGTGTGCATATCAATATCAACACAACAAATTACTCACGTCGCCAAAAAAAAGCACAGGTAACAAGCCACAAAGAAGCAAAATTTAGAGACCCCGCAGAGCCTGCCAGCAAAGGATGATCGCCACGAAACAGATAGTCTTCCAGACTGGATGATGTCACGGCCAAACGTTTGGCTTCCACATTGCTCGTGGTCTTCACAGCTACCTCTTGGCCATCTGCTTGCAGAGACTGCAGATTCGTAGCAACGCTGGCGTCCGTATCAATCGGAACAACCATCTCCGTGACAGCATGAAGTTTGAGGAGTTCCTGCACATAGCTCAACGCCTGTCCGGCATTCTTCCTCTCACGTCCTTGGTATTCTTCAAAGGCAGCCAAAAGGTCTGGACACACTTGTCCATTCGGACCCACAAAAATTTCATCAACCACCTCCGTGGCCGGATCCTTGCGATAAACTTTCTTCCAACCCTTCAACTCCAGATCATCCACTCCAGGCCGCCTGAATACGACAGGCTCCTGGATCCTCAATGTGCTGCCAGACTGAATCGCCATACTGACGACGCCAAGCTTCAACTGCGAAAAAAAACAGCTTTCTTGACATAAAGTTTCCAAGTCCTGTGCGAAGCCAAATTCAAGTGTTGATATCAGCCGCGCTCTTCCAATGACAGCGTCGATATGATGCCGTCAATCGCATCAGGGTACGCAACGTGTCAGCAAAAATTTTGTTGCGACGCCCCGGCAGGTGTTCCCCAGCGGCTTCTGCAGCCTCCCGCTCTGCTTTTCTCTTTTCTTCACGTTCTTTGTTTTCATTTTCCAGCCGTTGGATGCCCGTCTGCAGTTCATCCATCAGTGTTTTCAAGCCCGGGCCCGGTTTTGTTGTATAGTTGTTGACATAAAAGCCTGTATTGATACCATCACAAAAGGCTTCATTGACACTGATACTGATCGCTTGCGACAGCTCCACATCATGATCTCCAGCTTCCTCTGCCTCCTCCGCCTGCGTCGGCTCCGCCGCTGAAAACTTGGATCTGTAAGCATGACGCCAGGCACGACGAAAAGATGTAACCAAACTCTTCTTCCTACCACTCCCAGAGACAGGTTCCTCAGCAAGCTTCGGTCGAGCTTCATACTGACAACCAGTCCACTCCCAAGAGGCCATGTATCCAAGAAAATCAAGCGAGCCAACGTGTGGAAGCTGGTCGTCAGGGTCCAACCATAAATGCGGACTGACCACCCGACGCATGTCTTGCAAATCTAAATTGTGTCTCCCCGAAACAGTTCCACCATAGCAAGTTTGACATTCGAAGGGAGACAGTTGAATTGGGCGCAATCGCCCTTCCATGCCATGAGCAGCTTCGTCCTCACCAGCAATGTACAAAGTCGGTCGCAGATACTTCCCTTTGCGACGCACACGACAACCGTCGCATATGTGAATCACATGATAGAAGCCATGTCGACAAATTCTGAAGGTCTTGGAAGTCGAATCAGAATATTTGTAACACGATTCTGTACAGACATGTCGAAGCAGCGAAGGCATCAACGAATGTAAGTCTTGCTGAAATGCAGTCCGCCAAGCATCCGCATCCAATTCCGGCACATGCGGATCACACAGCAATGACCGCAAACGATACTTCGGAGTGGACGCCACCGACAGCTGGTTGATGGGTGTTGCAAATATGCTCTGCTTACCTGTTGTTGTTGCTTCCACTTGGAACTTGGGTCGCCGCCAAGTCTTCCTCAGAAATCCACAGCAGATACTCTTCTTGTTCAGGTGTTTTCTCTTTCAATTGTTCCAGCAGTTCCTTATCCGAGCCACCATCACCCCTGAAGAGATCACGCGCCACCTCCGTGATCTTGACAGGTGCATCCAAAATATCACTTCCAACACAACGTGGAGCCGCTTGCACAGAAGCATGCGAAATGGATTCAAAACTTGCCACCGCCAATTGCATGAATTCTTTCAAGCGTTGTCGCAGTTCGTGCTGCTTGGTGCGCAAGATTTCCGTCAGTTGACTCAAGACCTCCAGGTGACCACAAACCAACCACACCAAGATGTGGGGATGCAAAGACCCACGACCCTGAGCTTCGATTTCGCCACGAAATGCAAGAACCGGCCCAACCATGCCAGAACCACTGGATGCCGCAGCGACACCGTCGCTGCACCACTCCCGGCACGCAGCCCTGACGGAGTTGCGGCGGCAATCCAGGGTCTCTGGCCGCACATTCAAGACGTGCTGTAAAAATAAACTCATCAACATTTCAAATTGCCCGACTTGCCCGACTGGATCCTGGGCCACACGCCGAAGCATATCTCGGTATTTTGGCAAAGTCGATGCCATGTCAGCACTGACCGCTCCAAGGTCAATCTGTTCTCCTTGCACGATCAAAAGCAAGGGGTGCTGAGTGTCGGCAACGTTTGGAGTGACGAAAATCAGAGGCGGACCGAAGGTTTCCATGTAGGCACATCCTTCATGACGGCAGAACTGACGATGGCCGTCTGTGCCTAAAACGGCGCTGGATGCGCCGTTCATGGCATGCAGGGCATCCTTGACCTCTCGAGGTATGCCCGGGGTGGTGTGCAACTGCTGCAACGACGCACCCGCATCTTTGCTCACTCTCGCTGCCTGTGCCAACTTTTCAGCAGACAATCCTCGTAGAGTCTTAGCAAACACCATGCCACCATTCTTCAAGAAATTGTAGGTTGCCGCATGTTGGTCCGTCAAGCGGGACACTGTGGCTATCATGTGCAAGGCCACCCAATCGCCACTAAAACGATTTTGCACAGGACTCTCGTGAACATCATCACTCAAACTGTATTCCAATTCCTCCCGCAAAAGCAAACATGCAGCCCACTCCCGGGTGGCCAAAGGTACCTCTCGATCAGGATACAAGTTCGCAGCATCACCATATCGCCACAAGCGTGGCCGGGCCATGGCCCAAATCTTCCAATCCAAAAGACTGAGTGGTTTCTTGCCTCGAGCCACCACCAAATGTCCAGGCCCACTGCGATCTACCTGGCCGGATCGCTCCCTGCTCGCCATCGTCACGTCGACTTCGGCTCCCACACCGCTTGCCGTCGTCACGTCGACTTCAGCCAAGCTGGGCTCTCCATTACTGTTGGTCTCACTTTTTAGAAGCCACCTGGACCGGCCCTCCACAATATCACGAAGTTCTTCTTCCAATTTGGTCCTCATGCCTGCGTGGGACACCTTTTCACACGACTCATGAATTTCATTGCAAAGTTCTAAAATGCGCTTTCGACCAGCCTGATCCACCCACTGCGATCCTTCATCCTCAACCAAGGCTTCCATTTCAAGAGCGACAGATCGTGCGCCCGCTGCTTCTAGCTCTTCCAGTTTTTGTAAAAGCACCACAATGCGATTGGACAGGTCCAGTCGTTTGCTATTGAAATCAGAGACTTCAGACTCCATCGCAAAAATCACGGGATCTTCATCCGGTGTCGTGCGTTGTTCTGTGGCACTCGCCGGACCTTCTTGACGCATCACTCCAGGACCTCCTTCTCCGACTGGAACTGTCAACACACAATCCAAAATGGGCTGCGGGACTTGTTGATCCACCCACTCAGTCAACAGGTCTCGGTTGATCTCAGTCACGCCCTCAGCATACACTGGGTTCGTGTCTCGCAAACAGTTGGCTTGATCCACAAACAATGCTTTGTCAAGCTGAAACTGAGCAATCCTACGAACTGCAGCTTGCCCCTCTTGCTGGTCTTGTGCTTCTTGCAACTGAGTACAAAACGTCACAGCCAAAGCATCATTGAATTGTTTGGGCGGCAGGCTTTGGATGGCGTTGGTTGCGTCGCCATTGTGAAAAACAACTTAGATCGGCTGGGCTTTTATAACTAGTTAACATAATTAACATAATTAAGATGAAATTACTAAATAGTTATAACTAGTTAGGAAAATTAGGTTTTTTTCAAAAAAATCATTGATTTTCATGTAAAAGTACTGCACAGGCAAGTGAGCCACAAGGCTAATGTGACAAGCAACAGTGCACAAGAGAGCCACAAAGGGCTAATGTGGAAAAGGAAGAAGCAGAAGAGAGCCACAAAGGGCTAGTGTGGAAAAGGAAGAACCACAAGAGAGCCACAAAGGGCTAATGTAGAAAAGGACGAGAGCCACAAAGGGCTAATGTGAAACAGCGCAACAAACTCCAATGCCTTTTCATGCTTTGTGAAACTGAAGCATCATCTTTGCATGTGAAGGAACCAAGCAGGTGATGCCTCCTTCAGAGGACTTGGAAAAGGTCATGGGGCTTTCCACTGCTTGGCAATCTACCAAGAGCATTTTGGTATTTGTGCTGTCACACTTCATTGCATCCAACTTAGGCAAGTGCTCGACCAATGCATACTCTTCTACAATGGCTATCACTTTGCCCAGGTCCAAGAAAGCTTTGATGCATCCACATTTGAAAGGAAAACTTCTGGAAGCAGGATCACTAAGCAATTGCACCTTGCATAGTCAGGCCTGCTTTGACATAGTTGGACAGCTGAAGCATTGCTTCCAGTTCACAGGTCGAAGTGTTGTTCGAGTTCACTGAATTAAGTGCTGCTTGGCAGAAGGAAGGAACTGAGGAAACTCTGCTTCGACAGTGTTGCTGATCACAGTCCACTTCCAGCCTGAGGCAATTAGGCCTTCCAACTCTGCTGGTACATGAAGTCTTTCGCCTGTAGGAGACAAGCATTGTCCTTGTAGAGCCTTGAGGAACATGATGAAGTGAGAACTGCCAAGTGTAAGATATCGCTCTGAGCCAGTGGGCACTGGCAACAGTCCTTCTGATGCTGCACACATGTTGATGTTGGCTTCTTGTTGCTTCATCCAGGTATCTGTGTGGCTCGACATTTCTATGCAGATAGAAGAAGGGCCCAAAAGGTCTGGCTTCAATCCAGCAGAGAGGATTGCCTGCCCCTTCTTGTGCCATTCAAAGGCATTGACCATCTGAGATCCTCTGTTGTGAGGATGGACATGTAAGGAGTCAGGCTTGAGAATCAGCCCATAGGCCAGGTTGGCAAGGGTGAGCAATGCCAAGATCTTCTCCAATTTGTTGTTTACACCATCCTTGCTTTTCAGGATCGCACTCATCTTCTCTTTGGTCACCTTGTCCATGGCTTGGCTTGGGCAAGGGTGTTCAAGAAAACCAAGCTAAATAAATACACACAGGGAGTGCAATGGTGATGTGGGCCTGTTGGCAAATGCTCATGAAGGCTGTGTTCACTTTGTAGAGCATGTTCTCCATGGGTGCTTTGAGCAATTGGTTTGCTTGGTTTGCTAATGAAAGCTTAGCATGTGAGCCATGAAAAGCTGAAGAGGAGCCATGTCAGGCTACTCTCAAGCAACACAGGATAAGCAAAGATGTGAGCCCTGGCAGGCTACTCTCAAAGAACACAGCAACATGTATG